GTTAAAGTTAAAGTTAAAGTTAAAGTTAAAGTTAAAGTTAAAGTTAAAGTTAAAGTTAAAGTTAAAGTTAAAGTTAAAGTTAAAGTTAAAGTTAATGTTAAAGTTAAAGTGGAATTAGCACATAAAAGGGTATAAACTTAACTTTTTCTTAATACTGATCGGGCAGTTGATATGGCAGATATGTGAGAATCCGAACAATCTTTGGAGATTTCAACATTATGTTTTTGTGAATATATTTTAGCAAATGAAAAAGGTTTTCATACAAAAGCTCGTTTTTGATCATTCTGTTTGTATCGCTAACATGCACTATAGTTATCCGATATCGGCGGTACCGACAAATGCGCAGCTTCTTTGACAAAAACGGACGTGTGCAATATTTCAGATCGATATCTCAAAAACTGAGAAACGAGATTGCGTATATACAGATGAACATGACTAGATGTCCATTTGTTGTTAGCTCGCATACTTATATATATGTACCTTATAGGATATTCGAAGTTTTTTTTTTTTTTGTTTTTTGATGTTAAAAAAATTTTCATAAATTAATACACTGTGTTGAAGGTGTAAAAGTTATGTTGTGTTTGGACATGAAAAGATAAATTAACCTTAAAGTTTGGAAACAAACATTTTGTTCTGTAAAAGATAAAAAATAAAAAGCCAAAAATTAGCTTTTATTCACATAACTTTTGAGGTTATGAAAAAAAGTGTCAACAGAAAAGTTTTTTTTTTTTATGGCCCACAGCCTTGCCATAATCGTTTTCAAAAGGACTCATAGTTTTGCCGGAAATCGATAATAGTAATTTTTAACGATTGGAATTTAAACCAACCCCTTCAATTCCTCTTCTCGACATCAGATCGCTCTTAAATTATTATTTTTTAAATTTTTGTTAATTAATCTTTATTTTCGAATGGTTTTCAACTTACTGTGGTCTATTTTTGCTTTAAAAAAATATCGACCTAGACGCGGTTTTGACCAACTCGAAAGAAAAATATTTCCTTTTCCAACTCTCATTTTCAATTAAGTGTTGTCTTTTTATGTATGATATTGAAAGTTGTTGTATTCTTCTCTTTAAATGTAAGAGTTTAAGGAAAAACAAACAACAAAGAAATTATTCATTTAAATTTCAACTCAATTAAGCTCAGCAGCAAATTGGCAAATATCAACAACTAGCAGGCATAAAATTCTCAATTTTCAGTTGTTGTTTTTATTATTGGGCACATTGACACGCTGGTCATAAAAGCTCTTTGAGCTGACGTTATGATGTTCTTGTGCCTTTGTTGTCCTTACAGTAGCTCATGGCCAGCGGCAGCAACAGCTGCAGTAATGTTGATGGGGCAGAAGCCGAAAGTGTCGAGCAGGAAGAGGATTCAGCGGGAGGCGGTGTGGGTAATGGGAAATTTGCCTGCAGCTTATTTCAGTGTGACCGAACATCAATAACACTATTATTGTAAAATTATTATTATTATTATTATTGCAGTAATGCTTGCTTATAACAACAGCCATTGTATTGTTGCGGCAGCTTGTGGGCCGTTGCAGTTGCAACACACATGCAAAGTTTCAACTTTATAATTAACTAGTTGCTGTTCTTTAGATCAACATTTGCTATTAATATTAAGCCACTGCCAGGGACTGCTGGATAATTTAATCAGTTGGAGAATGAGTTTTTAGTATTTCGACTATTCTTACACATACATATACATGCAGTGTGGAGAGAACCTTTGACAGAAAATGGGTGATTTCGAATATGCAGAAGACTGAATGGTTATCTTATTTGAAGRCCGAAATAGCAACTGTTGGCACGAGTTATTCTGCTTTGGATTTCGAAGCTGATGCTCTTGTTGGAGTTAATGCTGGTTCCAAGATATGTAGACGAAATTAGCTACGACTATCTTCTCTGTCCCTATATAGAAAATACAAGTTCTAAACCACTGGAACTTCTTGTAACAGACTCTCGTTTTCCTATTTTTCTTCGGCCACCGTCAGCAACACAAGCTGACGAATTAAATTCGACTTCACTCAATCTTTTCGAGCACAGTCATTATGAATTGATTTTCTTCCCGCCGAAAAAAATTTTAACTCCTCCACTCAGTCGGGTTGGCTTTGACAAATCAAGCACTGACTGCGTGAAAACTTTTCAACAACTTTCATTAAACTATTTTTTCTTTAGCTGGCAAATAGCCAAAGACAGAAAGTTTGTCATGCCACGCTGATGCCAAAATAATTAACTTACACGCGATACTCTCTCACCCTTTGCAGCTCACAAATTCAGACGCAACTTCGGTAACACTGAAGGGTGTCAACCGCGAACTAACCGGCAACTACCAGTGCGAAGTGTCCGAAGATGAGCCGCTCTTTCACACTGACATACGCGCCGCACACATGCAGGTCATCGAACTGCCCAAGGATGAGCCAGCTATGCAGGTGGACAAGAAGGTCATCACCATGAATGACAACTTCAAGGCTGTCTGCACGGTTGGGATGTCATATCCGCCAGCCAACATAACATGGTACATCAACGGACGCAAGGTGAGTTGACAGTTACGAATGTAGACTAAGTTTTTAAAATTTTTAGAAATTTAATTAAATTTTTTTAAAATTACAAAATATTCCTCAACTAAATATATAATATACATCTCTTTTAACCCGGCTCTATCTCTTCCGACACATGACAGATTTACAAAACACCCTTTCAACGCATCAACCACGTCGCCTTCGAAGGTACCTCCACATATTCCTCGCTAGAAATCTCCCCACATAGCCAAGTGCTGCAAGGTTTCTTCCAGACGGTGCCCAAATACCAGACGACAAGTATACTGCTGCTATGCGAGGTCTCCATACTGCATGTCTTCCATAAGAACGTGCAACAACGCCTGCTGCTGAGCATAACACCGCCCACCACCATCTCGCCCAACCTGCTCGGCCTCGAGGGTTCGAAACGCATCAACGGCGATCCAGACAACTCGGCGCTCACAGGCGGCGTCGCCAGTAGCCACAACAGCAGGCGACGAATAGGAGGCGTGTTCGCGATCGTCGGCATGGCGTTCGTTGCACTGTTGGCGGTGGGCGTGTGTCATGGCGCTACAATGGGCGTACTTACCGATGATACAAAGCCACCGCTTGCAACTCGGTCCACTGTGGCAGCGGCTTCGTCGAAGCGCCAGGCGGTAGTACTTGCGACGTCCGCGTCATTGGCGCCAAGCGTGGCAGCAGCGCAGAAAGCTGTGGCTCAGCTGTGACCTCAAGGCAGCGTATATATTGGTGGTTACAAGCTCAGTGATGGCAGGCAAATTGCAACAACTACAAAGTAAATAAATAACGGTAGTCGTTTTGTGAATGCAAAAACAACAACAACAAACAAAACGCAGAAACGGCAGCGGCGGCGGCAGCAGCAGGCGTTATGGAGGCTAACACGGCATGCAAACTATAACAGTAGAGAAATGTTAATTTAATGCAAAAACAACAACATAACAACAAAAACCAAATCAAAATGGCAAATAATGGAAATTGATTTTGCACACAAAATTTAATTGTGAAAAACACCACAAAATAAAAAGGAGAAAATTGGAAAAAATTAAATCTAATATTAAGCATAATACAAATAGCGGTAAATGAAGCAGAGCAACAAAAAATTATGCAAATATGTCTGGTATAAATGATAATAAATAAAAAGGCGTAAAGTAAATACTGAGAAATAATTATAATGAAATTAATTTATATATTTGTTGACGGCAATAAAGATAAAGCACTACAACAACAACAAGAACAACGCAAAGTAGTGCGCATGCAGCATATGCCCGAAGAAAAGCCATAATAAATAACAGCAAACAAATAAACAAATAAATATAAATTGAAAATAATTAAATGTAAATTAAGTTTTTAAGCAACAAAAATAAAAACTACAAAAAAATGTATGTTAAATAGCAAAACAAACGCGTTACAAATGAAAAATCAAAAAAAAAAATAATTCTTTAAATGTGTTAGTGGGTAAGTCTTGGCATAAATGGCGCGCAGCAGCATCTTAGCTGATTACAGTTGTTGCAATTACACAAAGGCGCCATCCACGCTTTCTGTGTGTAAGCGTAATTTATGGAGTATTGAAATCAAAACTTTCAAGCAAATATTTATTGTAGTTGTAAGGCTTGTAAAAGGCGCTTATTTACACAGCAAATTGAAAAAGTTGGTGGGCGACATGAAGGAAAAAAAAAAAAAAAAAATTAATTTGAGTCAAAATTATATTCCGCAAGTACTTGTTTGTTTGTATTTATTTTAATTTTAGTGTTTATTTTGGCTTCGTTACTTTTTCTATTTTCTATAAATACTTTGGTAATTACCCCAATAGATTTGTTAGACATGCATTCAGTGATTGTAGCGCTGCATTTAGCAATAATGAATGCCAATGTCGTAAAGATATATTGTAAAATGACAAAGTTTTCCTTATTAAAACTTGATTCCGATCGTTCAGTAATTATGAAAGCTATTCGATCTAAACAATTTCCTTGCAGTTTGTAAGATTGCTGCAGGAAATAGCCCATGTAAATTTTTTTGAAGATGTCTCGTCAAATGAAAAGCTTTCCATAAAAGCACTTTATTCCAATCATACTGTTTGTGTGACTTCTATATATTACAGCTTCTTTAGAAAAAAAGGTTATTTGCCCGTTGGTCGTAATACACTTGTGCCAACGATGTTTTCGAACCGCGAAGCAGTTGTTAAGATAATTTTCCGGAACATTCCACAATGCATATAGCGGTTCACGTTCAATGCCTTCAATTGACTCAAAACGAAGTCACGAGGAGCGTTCATTAGAGTTTGCTAAATAGCCAGAAGTCACGCGGAGCTGGTTTTAACTGTTCATTTTAATATTCCAACGATGCCAGTAAGATCTCTGACTGTTAGTCGTTGATTCTCTAGCACCACTTCCATTATTTATTGACGTGTTGATCATGGGTTGATGTTGTTGGCCGTCTTGGACCGGGTTCGTCGTCGACGCATTCGCAACCCTCTATGAATAATTTTTACCCATCAAAAATACTTTTTCGCGAAGTCTTACTATTTTCTGCTTTTAAACCAGCTTCGAATTTAATACACAGCTTTTTTTTTTTTTTTACTAAGGCTCTTCCATTAGTTTGCCCATTCATTGCGCAAAATAAAGATTTTTAATGCAGTACTTCTTGAAGCATAACAGTGGAGCATAAGGCGGAATATATGGGTAACTTTACAAAGCAAAGCTTTAAACATTGAAACCATTCATATGTCAGAGATAACGTGCCGAATGTTATCTATCAAGGCTTCAATCGTCACGAGTTTATACCCAAAAACAAGCGACTTCAAATAACTCCACAAAACATAGGTGATAACCTATGCGATCTTAGAGGCTACGGTCACCATAAATTTCCGTTAATGAATTGATTGTGTTTTTGGCTGGATGGCATTTTCCGAAAAGTTTCCCATTAACAATAACAATGTTATGTATCACACATACATACCGAGTGTTTCGTTAAAACCTCTACGATGTAAATGTATTACTTTTCCAATTGATGGCATTGGTAATCAGTATCTTGCATTGTTTAAATGTTATAGGGCATTGGAAATATACGACTCTGTAATAAGAAAGTTCTCAGACAGGTTTTTGAGCGTCTGAGCGTCTAATTCGTTCCGGTTTCAGCATTTGCCAAAGATAGACACTAACAAAATGAAAAATTGTGCAGTTTACCTTTGATGAAGGATTAGACAGAAGCTTGGGGGCTGAAAATGTAAGCCTATAGGCCGACCGTCATGTATGCCCTGTTTCGATTGTCTTGGAATTAAAAATTGTACAAAAAGCTGTAAAAAAGGAGGAGCGGTATATAAGCGCCACATGGATCAGAGTTACTGTTGAAAAGCAACAAGATTGATCCATTTCAGAAGTCGATAGTTACTGGTTATGCAATATGGTTCACTCAACTAATGTCAAACAGAATCCGTATCTATGAAATTATCTTCAAAAGATAATTTTACGTTATTAAACGGTGCATATTTGATCTTAATAAGATCTCTAAATTAAAAATTCCAATTGAAAACTTAAATTTAATGCAAAAATAATGGGTTATTTTTATTAGATCTTACAAGGGGTGATCCATTTCGAGATTCTCTACTTTTTAAAAATCATTCGCAGGAACATTCTTTGGCATTTACTTTTTGATTATCATCCTTCAAAGAACATTTTATTCTTGCTCGAAAAAACTAGTTTCAATATTAATTTCTGTAACGATATATGACTAGATTCTGCCAATTTTTAATGTAACATGAATGCACAATAATTTGGTACTGTAAGCAAAAGTTCTTTAAACACCTCCACATTTAACTCAACCATATTTTTTTTAGTTAATAGATTTCATATTTTGTTTAATATCGCAGTTAAAATATAGAAAAGTTCTTAAAAGGAATATGATTTTAAAGTCAATAGCGCCGAACCAAATAAATCTTGCAAGCAATTAAACAAGTCAACTACATTTAAAACGAAATGACTTCAAAGAAAAACCTACATACAGTTACATTCATACAAGCATACTATATCTCCGAATAAATCAAATTTATACGAAATGACTTTAGAATGACTCATATGTGACTAACTTAAATCAAAATTAAACAAAAAAACATAAAAAAGAAACAAAAAATCAAAACATTTTTCATGCCAAAATAAGCTAAGCAACAAGAACACTCACACTATATATGAGAGCATATAACATAAATTACAATGTGACTAAACCAATATTAATTTTACGCTCTATTTTGGACATGTAAATACATAAACAAAGCCCATATAAATAAACACACACACATACACATGAACTGTTTGTAACGCATTAAATATACATTGAACATAATACAAGTAAATACATAAGCTTAGTTCACACATACGCATAGAGAGTATGTGTATGTATTATATAAGTATAATGTATACAATTGGTTCACTATTACATAAGTGGGTAAAAGAAAAAAAAAATAACTGTAAATTGTATGCGCAATAACCGAAAAGCTGCGACCAAAACAGTAAGCATATTTAATAGTAAAAACAATAACAACACATACTATTTTTAATAAAATATGATATAGAAGAATAATCGCTTAGCCAAATTTTGTACTAATTTAATTAGCCTTTTAACCTTTGTACATATGTAATCAAAATAGACGACCCCAAATTGTTTGGTTTTTGTTATATAAATCTATAGTGTTGTTTTTTGTGCTCGTTTACAATTTTGTTTAGTATTCACTAATATGTGATAAATTAACTAATATACTTTTAATTAATTTAGTGCTTTTTAAACTAATTTCATATAAATAAATGAAAGTACTTGGTAGGCTGTTGAAAAGTGGTTAGTGCAACCACTGGATAAAAGAGCGATGTAAATGCGACAAATAAACCTGAAAATTAAATAATTTTAATCTATTTATTTTGAAGTTTTATTTGTTTTTTTTTTTTTTTATAGAAATTATTATTAATGTTTATTTGTTAGTTTTACAGTTTCTCTCCAGGGAATTATTTTCTTTTTTTCGAGTCAAGAATTTTTTGAACCAAATCTTGACAATCTTTTCGTAACTTCATTAGCACGTTTACTAATCGAAAGGTCACAAAATAATAAGTTATTTAAACAAGAACGGGCTTCGCTATTCTGCCGCTCTTCGCAAAACATGATTATTTTTAGTCAAATTGACTAACAAATCACGTCCAGGATTAAGGTGGTATTCTAGTATAGAGAATGGAAAATTTCTTTTTTTATAATTTCGTAGTTTAGATATTAAAAAATATCTCCCTAAAAAGACTTCTCAAAATTCTCATATTTCCAATGTTATAGCCGTTTTAGTATCATGGCAGTTTAGTCTTGAGAGTAGTTTGAATATCGAATGCCGATTTCGCGCTGAGTCGTGCTTATAATAGTGACCGAGTAGCCAAAGCGCTGTAATGAATACTGAGCTAAAAAGTCACATGAAAGTATTTACTAATTTAGAGGTCATGGAAATATATTTGATTGATGAAATCCAATGATATCAAAAATAATGGTCCCTTGTACATATATATTAGAAATTATCCATGTTTTGTCTAAAGAAACGGAGTTAAGTGACAGGAGACATATGAAAACCTTCCTTCCTTTCTTGCATTATTTTGCTAGTTTTAACAGCTAGAAAAGTATACCAAAAAATTTACCTTCACTGACAAATTCTACACGATTTCCTGTAATTGTTTCAGGGTCGAAATGGTTTTTTACCATAAATTTCATTTTTATTATAATACTTCTCAAGTAAAATTTTCTGTTCACATCAAAAATAGCATTAAGCTCGTTTAGGTACTTGGTCAGAGAGAGAGAGAGAGAGAAAGAGAGAGAGAGAGCACTTTTGCACCGCTCTTATTGGAATCTCCATTGGCTCTTGCGGTCTAGCACTGTACTAATGAATTAGCTCTGTAGGTGCTGTTCAACGACTGGTTCCTATGTGACTCTGCGATCCTACTACTTACCCTTAGCAAAGC